CGACTGCGCTTGTCCTTCAAGTTGCCAATGGGATCAATCGCAGGGTCGACGAGCGACAGATGAGGCTTATCCGTGGCTCGCTGAGTGATCCTGCAACAGGGAGAACACTGGCTCAAGTTTATTCTCACCTCAGCCGCATCTGCGAGCTGCAAGCGAATCGTGCGGCACATCAATTGGGCCGTGGTCCGTCAGCGACCGCCAACAGAATCGAGGCCTTTTTCGGGACAGGGCAGCAACGAGAGGAGAAGCTGGAGGATTTGAGGATAAATGGGTGTCCCTGGCTTGAAAAGACATGTTCTCAGCTCATGAAATATGCACTCCCGTGAGTGTCGTTTTATCTCTGTGGGTGGCACCAAATATTCTGAAATGTATATTTACAGGTGTGAAACTGCGCAAACGCAGGTCCTGGCGTTCAAAAATATCCTGACAATCGCGACGCGGTACAACGGCACACGAGCCCTCTTCCTCAGATCCAAACACCTCGGGCAGGCTAGAAACACGGAATTCCTGATCTCCGCGCTGTGGATAAGGATGGAGGACGATACACCTCCTCGAGACTGGGTTTTTTACAGTAATTTAGCGGCAGCCTGTCTTTCCGACACGGTTATCTCTTCAAAATTGGCGAATATCGCGCCCAGGTGTTTAGGCTGCGTTAACCCGGAAGCTGGGGTTCTCAGTGTCCTAGAGCACCTCTTGATCACGTCAGAACGCAGGTGTGTTATTAACCGGCGGATGGGCCGTTGTTCAACATAATCTACGCAGTGCCGATACTCTTGCCCTACGATATTTAACCGGAATCCTGGAAATACCTACTTTCTGGCAACAACGTGGAACGATTTATATTACAATCTTTACTAGAATTTTGGCCCGAGTCGCCTCCGTTCTAAAAGATCTCGGGTTGGATTCTGCGGAGGGCGAAGATGTTCTAATTGAAAAACTCTTCGACACCGAGGGCATCGATTCGATGGCCAGCGCGATACTGGTGGGCGTCTTGGGCTGGGATGAAGTCGACCCAAAGTCACAATATTGGTATTGCGGTCTCGTTGAGATTGTGCAACTACTGCGACAGTACGTTTTCGTTCGAGGTTTCGGGACGCAGTTTCTTAGCTGATATTCAGGGCCGAAACTCTTTTACCGAAGTCTTGGGTGCTTGCCAATAGTGCGAATCTACGGAACATTATCCCAGAAGCAGACAGCGAGGAAATAACTATTTCGATGATGGTGTATGTCTAATTATAATATGAGTCACATATTTTGCATGCTTATTCAATGTAGGAAAGATGCCGCTGACATTTCCCCACCCCAGGATGGTGAAAGAAGCGGGGATTGGTTCGCCGTGGCCCTCCTCCCCCCGCCAAACGAGACTCTCGACGAGCGCGAATCCCGCCTCAAGGCCGCGATTGATGCAAAAAAAGTCAGCGATGGAATTGACGAGATGATCGAACACGACCGTAACCGCCGCGGGGTGTCCCGCGCAGAGGTCCAGGTCCTCCTCCTCGGCCAGTGAGTCCGCGTCCGCCCTCCACCGCGCGGGGACGCCACTCATGTCCTCCCCCAGGTCAGAGTCGGGCAAGAGCACATGCCTCAAGCGTGAGTATTCCCGCCTCAGTATCGTTGGCGGCGCGCGGCCCCGTATTGCTTCTGTTCGTGGAACATTCAATGGAATGTCGTATTGCCGAGTTGGCGATATTGGTGCCTAATTAGGCAGGGAGCAGCGCCCAAATCGGCCATTTTCTCTTCAGACGCGTTCCGGCTGACGACCCTTGCACAGAATTCCAACTGTTGCATACCCCCGCCGCCTTTCACGGAGAGCGCATTGCATGGCGCGCAGTAGTTTATCTCAATCTCGTCCGATCCGTCAGAAGGTTCGCGCATCTTCACTCCCAACAACAACAGTGACTAAGTTTACGCTAGGATTCTCGATGCGCTGCAACCAGAGACCGAGAATGTTGACGAACACGATGACGGCGATTCGCTCGAGACTGCGTCGGTCATCGTCTCGTCCAACGGCCGGCCTCCATCTGCGATATCCGGTACAAAGGTCCCCAACTACGAGGGCTATCGCCGCCGATTGCAGCCTTTAATGCAACTCGAGGATCGCTTAATTTCTTCCACATCTTCCTCGACGAGCAGCACTGGCAGCATGTCAAAGGAAAGTGAAATAACGGTGCACACTTCGACAAACTGGAAGAAGGCCTTTTCTTTGGGCAACAGGTCCAAGAGTCCCAAGAGCGCCCACTCCGGCGAGATTGAAGGGTGGTGGGAGGATCCAGATGACCCTGTGCATACACTCCATGCCTGTGCACCGTATGTGCAGGACATGTGGAGAGACCCCAACGTCAGGCAACGGCTTCGAGAAAAGCGACTACGGTTGGAGGAAAGCAGCGGATTGTAAGCGATTTCTTTTTACTCTGCCTCTTCTTCCGAGTAAATTCTCGTTTTCCCAGCTATCTGGACGAAATTCCTCGGATCACTGCTAAAAAGTACATCCCAACCGACGGTCAGCGGTTTCTCAGGCATCTGCTTACCTACGGTCTGACAGCTAATTTGTTGCAGCTGATGTGCTCAAGGCGCGAATGAAAACCATGGGCGTTGTTGAGCACACTTTTTCTATTTCCTCCGGCAGCAACCGCGGCGTACAATGGAGGATATATGATGTCGGCGGCTCAAAAAGTCTGCGAGCCGCGTGGCTACCATATTTTGACGACGGTGAGTGTTTCCAGTTGCAGAACGGAGATGCGAGCTCTAAGTCCTATCAGTCAATGCAATTATTTTCCTGGCACCTATATCTGCCTTCGACCAAGTTTTGGCCGAGGTGGGTCCCGCACATTTTCAAAAGCCAACGGAATAATAACATGAGTCCAGGATCCACATGTGAACCGGCTCGAGGACTCGATGCTGCTCTGGAAAGCGGTAGTCTCTAGCAAACTCCTGGCCAAGGTGAACATCGTGCTATTTTTGAACAAGTGCGATCTGCTTCAGGTAACCCTCTGCCCACGATTGCCATCTGGCTTTACTCATTTCTGTCCAGGCCAAACTCGAGGCCGGTGTGCGACTGAGCCACCACGTGATTTCATACGGTGACCGCCCAAATGATTACGGCTCGGTTTCTAAATGTATTTCGGCGTCGTGATTGGGGTTTTCCCTCCCTCTCTGATCTTCTTCGTCTAGATTTCCGCAATGAATTTGGCGCATTACACGATGCCGTTACGCCTAATGAGGAACGAGAGCTCTACAGTAGGTGCAAGCTGTCGTGAGGGTTTGGCAGAACTGATACTTCATTAGTTTATTTAACGGCTGTCACTGACCAACGACGCACTGCAACTATCATATCAAATGGTTGGTGGTGATGTCGGCTCTCGATTCGTCAAGTTCATCTCTTATACAGTCCGGGACATCATCATTAGGGGCAACCTCAAGACTCTGAAGCTCGTATGATCGTGCACCGCCCGATCCCTCTCTACCATCTCGCCCTCGTCCTGCGCCAACTGCAATCGGTCCGTCTGCCTCTGACTAAAACTTGTCGACAGCAGTGCTGTAATCTGATGAAAGGGCAGTCCGGGACATCATCATTAGGGGCAACCTCAAGACTCTGAAGCTCATATGATCGTGCACCGCCCCATCCATCTCCATCATCTCGCCCTCGTCCTGCGCCAACTGCAATCACTCCGTCACTTGTCCAGTCCTGGGCACAGAACAAGCTGGAACTGTAGCGGTTGGTATCGCACTAAATAGCTGCCGGCGGCGGGGGGCCTCGGATTTGGGCAGAGGAAAGGGACCGGAAGGGTGGGGGACTCTGCTACGGCCGAAGATGTATCTAAGTTTGAGCAATTTGGCGTTGTAGTATGCCCGAATTATTTGCAGAGCGTGGGATCGTGCGAGTCGCTGCTCGCGCTTGAATTTGCTGCGCTCAACGCGCACCGCCCAATTATCCATCTTGATTCTCTGCAGGGAACCCGCGTCGAGCCATTACAGGTTGCATGTCTTGGCGAACTGCAATTTTCCGAACGTTGCCGAGGGCTAATCCGATGGCAGTGAGTATAAAACCGTGTAACCGGCTCGTTGGGAGTAACTTGCAACTGGAAGATTTACAGAAGGGTGTCGAATGAGATCCGGCGACTGCGTGCCTTCCTAGGGCTAAGTAGAAATCACCATGCGCGGCTCCTGAATATGGCATCTCCGCAGACGGACATAGAATACATCCAGTATTGTGCGAGCGTTCGAGCGGGATTAGATTCGGAGTGCACTATTGGCCCTGGCGCGCAGTGCTTGGAGGTGCCCGGTGGTGTGGAGTGCTCGAACTAATAACAAAATTGTGTTCGGAGGGCCTATTGATCGATACCCGGCGAATTCGAGCGGACGCGCAAGGGAAGGCCTGGCTGTCGTAGCGAAGTACAAGGAAGCATGTATATGCAAAAGAAAGATGACGTGACAGGCGGTCGGAAGCAGTGTGAATTGGGTGGTCAAGTAGCCCTAAAACTTGTCGATATCAGTGATGAAACGACTAACGCACAGGCGTATACGCGCTGAGACTCTCCCATGTTGCGGACTGAGCACGAAGGTGCCAATCTCTCCAGCTCGTTACTCGAGAGTCGAGTTTATTTGAACACGCAGACACGTGACTTTGGTTGAATAACTGATTACGCGCAAAATCACGGGGTACGTCGGTGTCCTCGCAGGCTTGTAGCCGCTACTGACACTGCAGTATCTCAAAATACAACGCCATAAAGGAGTCTTCTTACAGTTGAAAAGAAACAGACATCGTCTTTTTTGAAAAAAAAACGGACGAAACCAGATTGTAATGGCCTGGCCTTGAGTCGAACAAGGGGCTCCTGCTGAAACATATTATCGAACTCCGACCCAATAGTAAAATCAGGGATGCAACCGTTACACCACCAAGCCGTGTTCTAGCTCACCCTTGGGCTTCTACAGATGAAGTTCAGGGTGAATAAATCCGGGCATTTTTGAGTCGGCGGTTAAACAAAACAAAAAATAGTAGAAGACCTGACCTTGAGTCGAACAAGGAGCTTCTGCTGAAATTGTTCAGAAATGGCAATGCAAGCAGGGATGTTACCGTTACACCACCAGGCCGATATGCTTGTTGTCGCATTCCACTATATAGAGTCAAGAGTTCGGTATCCTTGCGGGAACAAGGAAATGGTCTTGATTTACCTTATGTTTGCAATTCGGCTTTGCCCATCGTTACAATTTGGGTTTAACCCATCGTTACTTACCCTTTTAACGTGCTGGATTATGCGCAGTGCACTGGATTTTGAGGGGTGTAATGTACTGTACAAGGAGAGTCCGCCGGTGAGTATAATGAATAAGGTCTACCTACAGGTACCATTGACAGTGAGCTGAATAAATACAGCGGCGATGTATGGACGGACCAACATGGAGTATGTTTGGGGGGGAGGGGGCGTTCGGATTCGGATGGGACGCGAGCGCATAGGATGCAAGGAAGACGAGAGCGAGAAGGTGTAGATTCCCCGAATGAGTACTCACAGCCAAGATAATGCGATGGTTTGTTCCGTGTGTTAGACGACATATAGTTGATTGAATGTCAGCAGAAGTCGGGGCGAAAGGAATTAATTCTTGAGCGAAACGCATGGGTGTCGCACCGACACACAAGCAAGTGTAGATGCGCATAAGGAGACGGCAGGCAGCGAGCAGCGGGCGTGGGATTGAGGAAGGGTTTTGGATGCCTCGAAGGGCGGAAGCCGTATGACTGGGCATAAGTAAAGGAGGATGGAGTCGGACAGCCAGTGGTTCTGATTTCACTGATATATACACTCGCGCCCCAGCCAGATACTATTCAGAAGACGTCGAGTGGGCAACGCGCTGGGGAACGTTGCGGCAACAGCAGTCTCGTGAGACCGAGAGTTGTACTGGAAGTCTGGAACCAGCTGAAGAGGGTTTCTGTTTTGATAGAGGTTTCCGAGTCCTTGGCTGGGAGTCAACTGCGATTAGCTCAACGTTGGCTACGAGCGACGGCCTCGAATGACGGCATGTGAATGAAGCGTCGAGAGACACTGGCAGCGGGGAGGCGTGCGCCGGCAGCTACAGAGAAGACAAGAGCAGACTCGGACCGGAGGGCAGAAACACGCCGCACTAGCTTCGAAGGAGACGGTGCTTAGCGGTGGACGCGAGAGGGAAGAATTTCAAGAAAGCGGGGAATCATCGTGACGGATGAGTCACGTTGTGTTTCTACTAGTACCGGACGCCTCTCTGCTTTCAACAAGTTTAGACCCGTGCCTTCGGCGCGCCACGTTTGCAGCTAATTTTCAGTTGCGGGGTTTTTTTAAGAAAAGAAATTTATACGTGTGGGCACCGGCTATGTCGGCACAGACCTTGCTTGCAGCAAAACCTTTTTTCTTTTTCCCCTTTGAACTGGAGTGATATATCGCTAGTAGAGACAATTGTGCAATTGAAATTTCATTTCTCCTCCAACCTTCTCCTGCTTCAGCTTGTTCGCAACATTTTCAATGAATTAATGGTGGAGGTCAGCTCAGAGAAATGGCAACACACACTTGGAGCTCACTGAGGCTCTTCGTTGAGTTGCTAGTCCTAGGGACTGCCGGGGGTCTCCGCACGATTCTGCATGTGCACGGTGGTCACTAATACTCCGAACTGAGCATTAAGCTTGCAGTTACAACCAAGGACTTCGATCTTTGAGATTCCAATGGCTGAGGGATATGATTGTATATAAAACGGTCTGTCACTGTCTGTGTCTACTCATGTCTGCAGGATTCGACTCAGCTAGCTGACTTTATAAGTGTCTTAAGACTTAAAATCTCCAGCACCTGCGACCTGCCGACATGTTATAGATTAAACACAAATGTAATAATTTCTGGGTGCTGGAGTGCATTTTTACGACTTGAAAGGGATTCACAGAATTGCAGTACCGGAAAATTTGGTCATGTGAGGAGATTCGCGCAATGGAGTGATGTTTGTTGGATTCAGAATATTGAATCAAGGAGGTCTCTGAAAATGTTCAAATCGAGTGGAGAGATCGGAAGATTTCAAAATGGGTGTCCTCATGTACACGTGGACTCGGAAAGATTCGGCGAAAGTATTAAACCGGGTCCCACGCAATTTTGAGGTCCCAGATACCTTGTCAAGCAAGGTAACATATACTTGGCCATCAGCTACTACTACAGCTACCTAAACTACCTGTAACAGAAGTCAGTACCACAGATCTGTTTCAGAGCGGCAAAAGTTAGACTGATACAAAGAAAATAGAAAGTACCTGCATTCAGAGCCAGGCTGCAGCTGATTTGGAATTAGTAGGACCAAATCTGAAGAGTCAATTGTGGGTACACACAGAAGATCAGAAAAGCACAGTGAAAAGTGGTGGGGGAAGTTGAATGAAATGTAGTTGACAGATAGGGGTATAGCTGTGGAAATCATCAAAGAGGTTACAGGAATTGAGAGGAGAGAGGGAGTAACAAACCTGGAATGGGAAGGAGCAGAGAGTAAGATGAGGGGCAGAGGCAAAGTGTGCTTATCATTAATGAAATCTGTGTTGAGGCCTTGAGGCCTTGAGGAGCGGCAGTAGGGCCTGGAACCGCCGGGCGAGAGGTCACATGACATTTCATGTGATTTAGTGGCGGTGTTTTCATGTGACTTTTGGGTGGCGGTGCCATGCTCTTTTCTTATATAGGACAAGTTTATTCGACCCGTGCCTTCGTCACGGAGAAGCAGCAATGCCCGGCGGACTCTCAGTTTCGCCAACGCCCGGCGGATTCCGAGTTCCCGGGTTCGCCACAGACACGGCTGATTCCGAGGCGACGGGCACGTGATAAAATCACCTGACAAAATCACCTGACATTATCAAAAAAGCTGTGCTCCTCGTCTCTTAATGTATAAGATATAAGATTTCCTCGACAACTTACTGGTATCCGTCACTTTGACCGGGCAGCATGAAGCACCCGCGCTTCTACACGCCCTGCCCCGCATAGGCCGTGTCCGCTCAAACTCGGCCTCGCGCGCGCTCTACACCTCCAACGCGCTCCCCATCTCCTTCGACACCCCGCCCCGCAATGGCCCCATATGCATCGTGACAATGCATCGACTGCCGATCGAGGGCAGCGAGGTCGAAGCGCCGTTGAACCCCAGCGCGAACCCGCACCCGACCCCACGCCCCGCTGGCCCTCGCTGCCCCGCACGCACCCGGCGCCGCCCCGCACTCCGCCGCCCAGCTCGCCCTCTTCAAGCCGTACGCATCCGGCCCTGCCCGCGCCCCCGCACTGGCCCCCGCGCCGGGCGCCACCCGTGCGAGCCGCAGGCGGGGGCCACGGTACACGCTCGACGTCGGCGCGTGCGGCATCCCCAAGAGCTGCCACCACGCCCCCCATATGGCTACGCGCTCCACACCCAGGCCCAGATGAAGGTCGGCGAGGATGTCTATTTCATCCGCGAGAATGCGATGGGCGTCGCGGACGGCGTGGGCGGCTGGGCGCGTGTGAAGCATCCAGGTGCGTTCAGTCTTCCTACTCTGTTTCGATGTTTTTTCCTCGTTTTCCTGCATCCCTTCCTCGGCTCTTCCCCAGTTCCCGATTCCGCACCCCCTCGCCGATCTTGCGGTGGTACGGCCGTCCCGTCACGGTTGGCCCTTGCGCGCCCATGCCCCCCCTGGGGATCAATGTCTACCTACGCGAGGGGCGCGCGCGTCCTCACACGGGCTCGGATTCGCCTTACCCTACCCCAGTCCGTGCGCCTCGGACAGCCCACCCGATCTCCCGCCGCGGCCCTCGTGGATCCGGCAATGCGCGTGCCTGCGGCGATTTTGCTGCGCCTGGTCTCAACGGACCACAACTCGGCATGCGCGCCGGATGTGGTGCGCGGGATCCGTAGCGCACATCGTCCCCGTGACGTCGGGATCGCGAGGGCGTGGCTGGGTTCCTTTACCCACCGTCCGCGCCATACGCAAAGCGCTGCCTGCAGCACCATACGTACCGCGGCATAGACCCGACTGCGTGATACTGTGGTACCCGACGCGGGGCCCAGTTCCTTCCGGCGCCCTTTTGTCGTTGCTTGGCTTTGTCTTTTGTCTTTTTTTTCGTTTTTCTTCTTCCGCCCAGCGATACTTCGCCGCGTGATTTGTTTGTGCTGAGGGCAGCTTTGTGCTGTGTGCCAGCGACGACGTGCTCGGGGTCGCGGGATATCACACCGCGTCCCGGGCGCGGGCACCGCCCGTCTCGGCGATCCTGGAGTATCCCGCTCGGCTTGTGCGTCTGCTCGTTACGGATATGCATAGCGTGCTCTGACTGGCGGCCCACGCGCCCAGCGCTTTTCCCCCGCTCTTGTTTTCGCGGTGTTTTATTGGTTTCTTTGGGCGTGCAGCCCAACCACACCCACTCATTCACCCTTCTTCCTCGCCCCCCTCTTCCCCTCCGACGTATTCCCCGGGGGTCGTTGCCGCTTGCGCGCAGGCGTCCGCACACATATCGTGTGCAGCCCGCCGCCCGCGAGACCGCTCCCCTCAGCGGGTCCTCTTGCGGATTCACACGCGCGCGGGACCGGTAGTGAGGGTAGGGTGAGGTGGCTACCAAGTCGCCGGCATGTGTGTGCGGGGTGCCCGCAGGACACTGTTACTCTCCCCGTGTTGCTCTGGGGTGTATCCATGTCGGTACGCTCGGCTGGTCGTATCTGACGCCGCCTTGCCGTACCCGCGCTGTCTACACGACCGGCACCGCCATCCTGGGACGGCCGGACTGCGCGGCTGTCCGCCTTTTTCTTCCCACTTTTTTTAAAATAGATTTCCCCTATCGCAATCCGTCTATTCTAGCATGCATACTGACTGTTTTTTTTCTTCTTCTGTAGCACCGACGACGGGCCCCTCATCGCCCAGCGCCTCGGCGCTGTTCGCGCGCCGCCTGATGCACGACCCGCCGTACCATGCACATTCATGATGTGCCCTCCGCGCACGCATGGGGCGAGCCGCATTCGCACGCATGGGACGCGCCCTTCGCGCCGTGGTCGAACGCGCGGGACCTCGACGCGGACGGGCTGGACGGGCTCATGCTCCTGGGGTCGCAGGCGGCAGAGCAGCGAGGGGGGCGGTGGTGCGAGTGGGCGAGGACGAGTGA